CTATGTGAGCGAGCAGCGGGTATGCGTGGAGTTCTGCCTGGGCAGACGCAAAAAGCCACCTGAATGCTTATGGATTAGAGGGCAGACCAATGTGGGTGATACTTCAGTGTGTGTCTGCTACAGACACCGCCTGCTCAGGAGGAAGAAATAGATGACGGACACCTTCAAACAACTGGAAGAAGCCTCATCTTCAGAGGTCTTGAGACATTGAACTACCTTGGTATCTGCTGGAGGGGCAGCACAGCAGGGCACAAGCCGTCCCAAGTTTCTGAAGCGTGTCGACAACAACTTCTTGACATGGGTTATTGAGGACCCAAGCAGGAAAGACACTTTGCTGGACCTCCTGTTTACAAACAACGAAGAACTGGTCAGAGATGTGAAGATTGGAGCAGCCTTGGCTACAGTGACCATGAGATGGTAGAGGTCAGGATCCCGAGAGAGACTAGCAAAGCAAATAGCAGGATCACAATCCTGGACTTCCGGAGAGCAGACTGTAACCCCTTCAGAGATCTGCTTGGAAAAATCCCATGGAAGGCAGTCCTGGAGAAAAGAGGAGTCCAGGAGAGCTAGCTGATTTTCAAGGATGACCTCCTCCAAGGCCAAGAATGGTCCATGCTAACAAGCGGAAGCCAAGCAAAGGGAGCAGGAGGCCTGCATGGATGAGCAAGGAGCTCCCAACTAGACTCAGGCATAAAAGGCAGAGTACAGGAGGTGGAAGGAGGGGCAGATGACCCAGGAGAAATATAGAGATGCTGTCTGACCATAGCAGGATGGGTTCAGGAAAGCCAAAGCTCACCTGGAGTTGAATCTGGCAGGGGATACGAAGGTAAAAAAGATTTCTACAGGGTAATCAGGAGTAAAGGCCATCCTAGACAAAATGTGGGCCTGTGACTCCATGGAGCAGGGATTTGATGGCAGAGTACAGAAAAGGCCAAGTTACTCTGTGCCTTCTTTGCCTCAGCCTTCAGGACTCCCAGGTCCCTGAGACTAAGGGGAAAGTCCAAGGTGATGTAGGCTTGCCCTTGCTGGAGGATGATCAGGCAGGGCTGCTGAGCTAGGCTTCTTCCATACCATTTCCATCGTGACTGCAGCCAGGGAGGTCTGGTAATGAAGATAATAAGGAAGGAGAAGAAGATAATGAAGAGCATTGAACAAGGTTAAGAAAACAAATTCTCTGAATTTCTGTCACAGCCTGTGGAAGCAGAGGTACTTCAAGCTCTTTGTATATAAGCACCTGTGCTTCAGAGCATAATGCAAGTATTAAATGACAGGAGTGAAGAAGAAACTTCCCCACTGGGCAGCTTGCTCCATAATTACCAATTACTGGGGCTTCTGCACTTTCCTTTGAAGCACCCCACAATCGGGTGCTGGCAGTCAGCCATGGAAAGGATTCTGAGATGCTAATCTGCTAATTTATAAAGTGCAGGAAATATCAAATTACCTTTGTTAATTTTAATCCAGGTTTAAAGATTGATTATTCTATAGGCAAGCCCTTAAGTGTCATCTGAAAAAAAATTGTATAAATTGAGCTTGTTTCAAATTTGGAAGTGTTTAAGAAGTTTTCCTATGTTTTCTAATTTTTGTATGAAGTTGGAAAGGAAAGTGTGCCCCTCCTGCCTTCCATTCACTGCCTCTCCCATTTTACTGGATATATATGAATATCTCCAACATGCTTCTGTTGCCCTACCCCGTACTCTCCAGGCTCTCATCTTCTCATTACCTTGCCATCTTTTTGGGCGGGGATGGAATGGTGAGCTTCTGGGTCTTCCACCGCACCTGGGTTACCTGCGCAGGCTCCCAAGACGCTGCCTCACACAACTGCCATGATGGCCAGTGCCCTGGCTGTTTGGGGTGAAGGCAGAGGGAAATGCATATTTCTTTCCGTAAGAGTCAACAGAGCTTGGGTACTGCAAAGCCAGCAATGACAGAGTTAAACGAGATTGTGAAAGCAGGTTTTCCAGAGCCCAGACTATGTTTGCAGCTTGAAAGCATACTGTAGCTTTGAGGAGAGTTTTTCATTATTGGACAGGATCCAGCATCTCACCATCTATGTTACATTTTGCTCAAAGGCAGGAAGATTATGAAAAAAAAACCCCAGCCACATCTGTGGCAGCTACATTTATCCCATCTGCTTTATATTTTATCAACTGGGAAAGTAAAATCCTAGTCATCACACAAGACTGTTTTATAAGGATTAGTGCAAGTAATTCGGCACTGACAAAACATACACATGAACGTGTTTCCTTCTGGATGAGACATTTAATAATTACATTTCCAGTGGATTTAATTACAGTTAAAAGCTTTCACCAGTTATTCGAAGTCATTATAGTGCTTACAAGCTTCATTCAAGTAGTTCTGTGCCTCCCTTGCCCAAGTCATTTTTAGAGCAGTCTATTAAAAACCGTTACCTCACAGTGGGCTTTAATACAGCATGGGTCTGGATGCCCCCCTTTTACCTCTGCTCAAGTTGGTGTCATTACTGCACCAGGTGAAGGAGGCTGGTGTGGATGTGGGGAGTGAGAAGGAATAGCAAAGAGGAGAAGCAGGGGGACAGCAAGTACAGCTCCATAACATGCTTTCTCCTGTCACCGAGACCTGTTCTGGGTATCACCAGTAACCACATCACGCACTGTTTATAAGGTGACCATGCGCTTCCCCGTGATCTTGTTATGCTGTTAGTCTAAGCGCACACAACCTCACTTGTCTGGAAGGGAGAAACCTTTCATCTCCAGTTTAGTTCTATAGGCACTGCCCACTTGTTCCCATGCCAACATTGGTTAATTGATTTCTTCTCCCTCTTTTTTTGTTCAGATCCCCTCCTCCTTTCCTGTGTATTTCTCTAGAGCAGTCATACCCTCTAACAAAACAAAGGTTTTTCTATACTAAGAAAGTTGAAGTTGTTTATGTCCCCTCTTCTAATAATTTTGCCAATATTGTCCTATACCTTTTTCAGTTTATGTAAATGTTTCCTAAGCATGGGCCACGAGAAACTTGCACAGTGTGCTGGGGAAATGTTGCCAGTGCCTTGTATAATGACATTAATGCGTTCTTATCTCAGTGGAACTGATTCATGCGTCAGAGAGTTTTTGATCTCCCCAGGCACAGAGAAGTGACATCTTTGGCACTAAAGCACAGCGTGTTCAGTTCTTACTTGCTGGGTCCTATATGGAGTACATCTGGAAGCCCTTCCCAAAGGATGCTAGTGTCACTGTCCCCATTCTACAAAGGCAATTCAGGCAATGAAGCCACACAGCAGGCTGATAGCCAAAATTAAGTGACAACTATGTGTGCCTTGACCAACAAATGCTTTGTCCTCTAGGCCAAAGACTGCAAAGAGAGATCAGACAGGCCTTTTTAATCTAAGTGCTAGAAAAAATAAGGTCAAATATCATAATTGAGGAAGATGGAAAACCTTTCTTATGGATAAAACAGAAAGTGACCCCTGTATGAAATTCTGTTGACATTATATCCATAGCACTTTTGAAAAGAAAAAACCAAAAACAGGAAACATGCCAGAGCACAGCACTGCTTTGCACTCACATGGGGTCTTTCATCTGCAGGGTACAGGCTATCCTTGCCAGGTCAGAAATCATTTCCAGCTTTCAAGCAGAGAAGTAGCTGTATTACAGGACCAAGTAATATTGCATAGCCCTGATTCTGCAAGACTTCCATTATTTTTACTTTATCCGCTGTGATTAGCAGCAGCTGCTTACATGGCTTTTCATTAAGTACTCAAATGAGTCTTTGGAAGGCTTTAGTCAAAGGCACTGGGAGCTGGAAAATGAGAAGCCTCTGAGTTTGGGACATCTGTCCCAATTCACTGTCCTCCACTAGGTTTCTTAAAATGTTGCTATTGACACCTTTCTCTGAGTAGATATCACATACATTTTATTGCTTGAAGCAAGGTCTGAAAGAATAACCTTCACTGAGTTTAGATATTATCACAAGTTTATAAACATGTTATCCTGATTAAAGAAACACAGAACTGTTGAAGTTGGGAGGTATCTCTGAAGACCACTCAGTCCAACCCCCCTGCTCAGAGCAGGTCAGCCACAGAAGGTTGCTCAGAGCTGTGCCAAGTAAGGTTTGAGTATCTCCAAGGATGGAGACTCCACAACCTCTCTGGGCAACCTGTTCCAGTGTTTGGTCACACTCATGTTTCTGTAGAGTTTAATGTATTTCAATTTGTGCCCATTGCCTCTTGCTCCTTTGCTTGGCACTACCAAGAAGAGTCTGGCTCCATCCTCTTTCCTGTCTATCCCCCGCCCTGCCCTGATGCTTATATACATAGTTAAGATCCCCCCAAGCCTTCTCCTCTGCAGGCTGAACACATCCAGCACTCACAGCCTCTCCTCATATGGCAGATGCTTCAGTCCCTTCATCATCTTCGTGGTCTTCACTGCACTCACTCCAGTATGCCCATGTCTCTCCTTGACTGGGGAGCCCAGGACTGCATGCAGAACCCACATTGCCTCAGCAGGGCTAAGCAGAGAGGAAAGAGCACCTCCCTCCACATGCTGGCAATGCTGTAATGCAGCCCAGGATGCCATAAGCATTCTTTGCCACAATGACACATTGCTGGCTTATGGTCCACCAGAACCCCCAGGTCCTTCTCTGCAGAGCTGCTCTCCAGCCTGTTGGCCCCACCATGTATTGGTTCATGGGGTTATTCCTCAGCAGGTACACAGTTTGGTATTTTTCTTTGTTGAGCTTCGTAGGGTTCCTGTTGGCCCATTTGGCCAGCCTGTCCAGGTCCCTCTGGCTGGCAACACATCCACCTGGTGCATCAGCCACTCCTCACATTTTTGTATCATCTGCAGACATGCTGAGGATGCACTCTGCCCCATCTTCCTTGTCATTAATGCAGATGGGATTGGACCCATTATTGCCATGAAGGGCAACCCTGGTGACTGGCCTCCAGCTGGGCTTTATGTCACTGATCACAGCCCTTTAGGTCTGCCCACTCAGACAGTTTTCAATCCATGTCACCGTTCACTTACCTAACCCACACTTCACCAGTTTGTCTATGAGGATTTTATGAGATACAACACCAGACACCTTGCCAAAGTCCAGAATATCATTATCCACTGCTCTTCCCATGTCCATTGAGCAAGTAATCTCATTGCAGAAAGCTATGAGGTTGGTCAGACATGATTTCCCCTCCATAAATCCATGTGAGTACCCCCAGTCACCTTCTTGTCTGTAAATGGTTTCTAGGATTAATTGCACCATCATGTCATGGAAAAAGTGTAGATCCACCTTTTAAAAATGTTTCCTAACCTGATTGTCTTCCACTGAGGTTGACTCTACATCACTCTGGACTTTACCACTGGTCTTAGAAGCCTAGAATACCTGAGGGTGTTGTGCCTGTAAAGAAAGAGAGGAGGAGGCCATTGAGAACCTCAGCCTTCCCAACATCTTTTTTCACTAAGGGCCCTGCCCTATTTAGTTCCTCCTGGTTTGTAAGTGCCTGGTCCAACCAAGCACCTCTTTTCTTGGCTCCTTGATCACATGCGACAGGAAGTTGTTGTTTACTCCTGCATTGAAAAGGTCTTAAATATCAGGTCTATTACTGAAAGAAAAGTAAGTAAAGAACACTTCCTTATGAAGATAATAGCTTGTAGCTTCATAGATGCAGGTTTTTGCTAACTGGGTAAATGCTGGCCTAAACCTAAAACACACATCTGTAGTTTTTGCTTACAGCCCAAATCAGGAGTATAGAGGCTTGGACACAGGGCTGAGGATTACAGTGACTTACTCTTCAAATGAAATTGGCACAGATGTCAGTTCTTCCACCCCATCAAGCAGTGGAATGACAGTTCAGTTTGTCAGCAAGTTGTCTATTTTAGGAGCAAAGTGTATATTCTGCTGGACTGTGAATTGCAGAAAAACGTAAATGCAGCTTTGCATTTTTGAAAGTTGTTTACTGCGCAGATTTGTGAACCTGTACCCAATGACATGGACCTTAAACTTACATTTTTACTATATCAATTTGCCACCTCATTTTACTACATTTGATTTGTTGTTTGCACTATGTTTATTTGCTTTTTGTGCTAGTAATGCTGCTGTGAGGAAGACTTTTATAGTGCATCCGTGGAAGTTGTTATTAAACAGTGATGGTCTTTGAAATAGAACTAATTCTTCCTCCACTCCCTACTTGATTTTTAACTTACATTAATAGTCAAAAAAATTTGCTTGGGTTTGGTTTGGGTCCTTTTGGGAGAGGCAGGGGGGTAATGTGACTGTTTTGTATATAAACCAAAATGGAGGGATTCTAAGAATGTTTTGTCTGTCAATCTGTATTTAATAAGCTAATTTATCTAGGATAGGGCATGAGATCTTTTTATTGCAATGAGTGCAGAACCACTATGTGGGAATGGACATTGCCATTTTACCATCATCAGGTCTGCTTTCTTGACTTACTGAAAGGTTCCCCAGGGCTCTTCCAAGGCCCTGGCTGGAGGAGGAAAAGGAGAAAGGAACATGAATGCAGAAAAGGGGAGACAGGAATGCTCTAGTGCATCCCACAAGCCGTCAGGAAATCAACACTTACAGTGCTATTGCTGTTGGCTTAGAGGGTGGTCTTAACGCTGTAAAATAGATCCAGCCCTGTGACGCTAGGAACAGCTGCTTGGGGAACAGCCCTTGCTAGTATGGTGGTCTTACAAAAAAAATCTTTCATCCTGTTGGCTGAAACGCCCTGAATCATGAGGGAAGCAGGGGACAATGCAGCTTTTGCTGCCCAGCAAGCCTTCAAGAAGTATTTTGTTCTTCATTTTCACCAGATTTCCCAGTCTTCTTGCTCCTTCAGCATGTTGTCAGCTCCTGCTATAAAGTAGAAGCAATTCTGTGCCTGTTCTTACACAGAAGATGACACTTGCTAAGTTTAAAGAACTTCATAATGTGAAGTGCTTCGGTATTACTACATGCAAGCAACAAAAGAGTCCAAAATCTAAACTGTTAGCAAGTAAGTTCCTTAGCATAGAAAAGTTAAGCACCATTTCCATTTTCTCAGCTCTAGCTAAGTCCAGTGTGTTCAAACTTGGAGCAAAGACTATGTACTGATAGACTCATGGGACTTGTGTGATAGCTTGACAACTTAAAATATTTTAGCAACAAATTTTATTTTATTAATAAATTATTAGGTTAATAAATTAAAAATCCAGAATTTCTATCTTTACTTGTTTATTTAAATAGATACTGTAGTGTTTTCATGCAGAGGACAGTAAGTGGAAGGCAGTGAAAAAAGAACAGATGGAAGGTAAGGGTGACGCCTCTGTTAAGTCTTTACTATTCAAGGCTGGTATGGAAATAAAACAAAATGACACTGTTCCTGGAAAAGTCTGGGACAGTAAGGAGTGGCTTGTTTATCTGTGTTAACTGCCTGCTGCAGTGTTGATGCTGAAGCTGTCAGCTATAGGAAACGCTTCAGGAATTGGTTGTAAAATCTCATGGGAATATAATTCAGCTACCACCATGCTGAAGTGGGTCCATTCTCTCCCTATTTGTTGTGCTTTCATCTAACTCTCAGTATACATTACAGAATTTATATGCAGATGGGAAATACATAGAAATCAAAGCATAGAACCATTTTTTTCTGGACTTCTGGAAGTTAAAACTAGCTACACGTTACAATATGTACAGTCAGGAAGCTTATATTGCTTGGTGCTGGCTAGGTGCTGGCTTGTCTTCCTCTCCAGGACAGAGTTATGCCATGACAAAACTAGTAGAGTCCCTCACGACTTGGTTTCACAGAGCCACAGATTTATCAGTGGTGTCAGAGCTGAGGAAAATGTGAATTTTATACATGCTGTTCTTAACACACGATATTCAAGTTCTTTAAGATCCATCTAGGCTTAGCCTTCTCATCTGACATACTAAAGTCTATAGCCAAGAACACCACTGAAAACAGCCAGGTAGCTGCAGTCTCTGCTCTAGATACTTTCGCATACTCTGACAGGACCTCTGTCTTCTGGCTCTCCAAACTGGTACCTCCTCCATAGCAATGAGACTCGCTGTCATGCAGCATGATGGTGTTTTCAATAAAATAAGTTTTGTCTCTTTCTCTGGGAGATGAATAACTTGAATGCTTCAGTGCTACTACCCCCACCTATTGACATTTAATATGACTTTAGTGCTGTACTCATTTCTGCAAGAAGAGTTTAAAGGTCAGGAAAAGCAGCAAGCATGGTTGAGCAAGCAGATGAGAACACCTTCACATCTGTAAAAACAGGTATCGGGCAATTTGTAACACAAGGAGTGTAGAACTAAAATGCCTGTGAATAAGGACAGGTGTGTCAGTTTTTAGAAGGTGTTTATAGACAGACGTGAAGTTTAATAGCTAACAGTTTTTAAAAACAAGGATTACTAATACAGTTTTGGTAAAAAGTTGTGCACCTGGAGAAGCATCTTATTTCTCTATAAAAGTCAAACAGAAATATTTCAGGCGTTTTAGTACTTACTTGCACTGCATCCAATTTAGACATCAGGTAGAACTGCCTAAGAACGGACAGAGACCTAACAGATAAAGTCCATTTGATGCCAGATTACACCTGTTCATGGAAAGTGGAGTTAGACTCAATGGAGTTGGACTCAAGTTGGACTCCATGATCCTTACGGGTCCCTTCCAAACTAAGATATTCTATGATTCTAAATTCAAACTAAGGGAAGAAAACTTCATTGTATAACAATTGCATTCAGTAAATGAAAAACAGTGCAGAGATTGTTTTGGAGATCTTCTTTCCCTGTTTTGTAATTTAAACAGCTCTATGCTTGTTTCTAGAGGACTTGTGATCCAAGCCTTTGGAAAAGATTTTCCTTAGAACATGGAATTTCCTCTTGGACTGCAGTGGAGCTGGAAGCCAGCACACAAGAATCTGCATTTTGGCATTGCATTGTCCAGATTTATTTCAAACTAGATGACTAAACTGAAAAGGAATGGAAGTTGTATCACTCTTAGCTTGAAACTTACATGGAGATAATGTGGGGGATGTTTGAGAATATTCAGTTCACTTTTACAAAACCAGGGTTTTTCACCTGGGGATACATCAACTTGAGCACATGATATGGTTTCTGTCTTGACAAGAGCACTTTTGTGAATTACAGATGTTTGAATGAAATACAGCCAAATGAAGATGCTTTGTGATTAAAAATTTCTGACTCACTTGTCTGGCCACATTGAACATCTTGTGTTATCTTCCATGAGTGCAGAGGATCTCTACACTTTCTGCCAAGGCCAGCTGGATGGGTTGTGCAAGCCAACTTAGATGGACTGCTTCTGCTTGTTAGTCTTTTCTGCTCATTAGTCCTTTCTGCTTGTTAGTCTTAACCTCCAACATGTCAGTCTTTCAGGGGAGAAAAATACAGTTATCCCTTCTTTAAGAAGACAGAAAGACACAGATAGACCAAAGGTATGTTTTGGGGTTTTTCTATGAAATTTTCCATCAATAGATAATACAAGAAGGAAAAAAAAAAATGGGCAAAGCAAAAAAAATATGTATGTAGTCCCAGTACCAAAGTGTTCTTGATCCAAGTAATCCTGCTTACATTTTTTGATGTTCATGTTTGTACTCCCAATGAAGCATGAGATCCTTTAATATTTTTGGTAATAGTGTTTTCAGGCATAGTAATAAAAAGTAGATTAAATACTTTCAAGATAAAAGAAAAGATAGGACTTCGGATATTTCTGTAACATTGCTTGTCTGGTCACAAGCACATACTGTACAGCTTCATATTACTAGCCCATTTTAACAACTTATCCAGATTTTAACAAAGCTTATCTAGACTTTGTCTTGTCTTGTCAATCATTATTCCTCCAACTGATTTTCAACATTTTAAAGTCCAATTTAATCTTCCTTTTGCTGCATTCCAAATAGTCTAGGTAGAGCAGCACTTGTCATGTTTCAGGTTGGATGCCCACACCAAACTGGGAGATGCTGACCTTTTCCTGCTTTTTCTACTAGGCTCAAAGAACTTTAGGATAAAAATACTGTTTCATTTTAAGTGTAACTGAACTGTTAGAGACAACAGACCAGTTACATTTTATCATTATCAAATATATCTGTGAGGTAAACACTGAAATGTAAGGGTGGTATTCGTGT